CTTTTTTATGAGATTCTAATTACACCTATATTAGACTGCTTGATACTGTGTAAGAAGTCACTCACACTCTCTTCATTTACTTCAATGTTTTCTCTTTCTGTGCTTCATTTTGGGCAATATATGTTATCCTGTCTTCAAATTCACCAATCCTTTCTGTGGTGTCTGATCTGCTGTTCTATCCAATGAAATTTGTATTTCAAATATCATAATTTTCATATTTAGTATTATCTTTTGGTTACTTTTTAGGGGGTTTTATATTTCTCCTGCTACTATCCACCATTCACCTAGTCTACCTATCTTTTCCTGCAAATTCTTTTTTCAGTCACAGAGTTTTAAAAGTTTTTGTCTGCTAATTTCCAATATCTGGGTCATCACTGTGTTTACTTCAACTATTTTTTTCTTTTGATTATGGATTGTATTTTCCTGGTCCTTCATATGATTTGTAATTTTTTTTTATTGGATCCCAAGTATTAGATTTAGAAAAACATTGGAAATTGTGGTACAATATTTATTTTCTAGAGAATGCTTAGTGTTTCCCTTCTGGCATTTAGGATGAACAGCTAATAATTCTCTTTCCTACAAGAATTGATTTGAGCAGGAACTGGTCCATATTTTAATTAAGTTGAATTGTTGCCTGATTTGTCTAACCCATAATCTCTCCTATTGCTGCTTCCCCTGAGGGGCTGGTTTCTTTGATATTGCCAGTATTTTAGCTGGCAAGAGTTTGAACTCTGATTTTAAAGTTTTGGTTCACATCTTGGTTCAATCCTGGCAGAGCTTCAAAATACAATTACCACAAGAACATGCAGGATGAGATTCCTCTGTTTCTAAGTTCCTGTTTTTTATAGTTGTGTAAATGCCAATTAAACCTTAAAACATTTTCATTATCCCCAAAAGCCTCCTTGTATTCCATTTACAGTCAATTCTCTCCTACCCTGGCTCCAGACAACCACTGATCCATCACTATACTTATGCCTTTTCTAGAATGTCCTATAAATAAAATCATATAATATGTAGCCTTATGTATCTAGTCTTCCCTATTTCATCATCATGTTTCTGAGATTCATCCATGTTGTTGTATGTACCAGTAGTTTGTTTCTTTTATTGTGAAGAATATTCAATTGTATGGCTATACCACAGTTTGTTTATCCATTCATCAGTTAATAAACATTTAGGTTGTTGGATCCAGTAGCTATTTTGGCTGTTATGAACGAAGTTTCTTTTTTTTTTCAATTTAAGTTCAATTAGCCAACACATAGTACATCATTAGTTTCAGATGTGGTGTTCAACAGTTCATCAGTTGTGTATAACACCCAGTGCTCATCACATCACGTGTCCTCCTTAATGCCCATCAACCAATTACCCCATTCACCCACCCATGTCCCCTCCAGCAACCCTCAGTTTGCTTCCTAGAGTTAAGAGTCTCTCATGGTTTGTCTCCCTCTCTGATTTCTTCCCATTCAGTTTTCCCTCCCATCCCCTATGATCCTTTGCACTGTTTCTTATATTCCACATATGAGTGAAACCATATGATAATTGTCTTTCTCTGATGGACTTATTTTGCTTAGCATAATAGCCTCCGGTTCCATCCAGGTCAATGTAAATGGTAAGTATTCATCCTTTCTGATGGCTGAGTGATATTCCATTGTGTGTATATATATATATCCATATATCCATATATATCCATGTGTATGTGTGTGTATATATATATATATATATATGGATATATGTGATATATATATGGATATATGAGATATATATATGGATATATGAGATATATATGGATATATGTGATATACATATGGATATATGTGATATACATATATGGATATATGTGTGAGATATATATATCCATGTGTATGTGTGTATATATATATATATATATATATATACATATGTATATATGTGATATGTATAGATAGATAGATAGATAGATAGATAGATAGATAGATAGATATCACATCTTCTTTATCCATTCATCTGTCGAAGGACATCTTGGCTCCTTCCCCAATTTGGCTATTGTGGACATTGCTGCTATGAACACTGGGGTGCAGGTGCCCCTCCATATGAATGAAGTTTCTATGAACATTTGTGTGCAAGTCTTTGTGGGGACATATGTGTTTATTCATCTTGGATAATTGCTTTGGAATAGGACTGGTGATTTATAAGTATATGTTTAATTTTATGAGCAATTGCCAAACTACTTCCCAATGTGGCAAAACAATTTATGTTCCTACCAGCTCTCTAGGAGAGTTCCAGTGGCTGTACATCCTTACCAAAATTGGTATTGTCAGACTTTTTAATTGTGACCATTCCTAAGGAATGTAAGCCTCCTTTTCTGCTACCATATTAGCAAAATTCAAATGGAGAGGGGTTTGGTAGAAGAAAAATGGTTGAGTTGAGTGATTTGCCTTGGGGAGCTTTTCTCATTCCAGTCTATCTGCTAGCCTAAATGGCTGTCAAGGGCTCGGCTGGTTTTTCTTCATCCTCTGAATTCTGTTTGTCAATGGTGGGCCTGCTTTTTGACTTGGGTGACTTGACACACTTTGCACACACTAGACCAAGCACTCTTTCTCCACCATGCTCCCTTAGGTATGGATATGTCTTTGGTTCTTTGCTTATTTATAAAGTGTTCTTCTGTGGAGTTCAGTTCATCAGATTTTTATCCTATCCTCTCCTTTTCAGTATCCTCAAGGAAAGGGGTGATAATTATATAATTTTATATATTTTTCCCTTCTGGTTGTTTAATTTTCTTTTTTTTTAAATTTCTTTTTATTTGAGAGAGATCGAGAGAGAGCATGAGTAGGGGGAGGAGCAGAGGCAGAGGGAGAAGCAGACCCCCCACTGAGCAGGGAGCCCAATGTGTGGCTCGGTCCCGGTATTCCGGGACCATGACCTGAGCTGAAGGCAGACGTTTAACCGACTGAGCCACCCAGGTACCCCGTCCTTTCTGGATGTTAACACCAAAGTGAATACCTCTCATACCTTTTCACATCATAATCATAAGTGGCATTTCTACTTCCTTTTTAAAGATCTTTTTAGAAGTGCTGCCCAACAATTTCTTTTTGTCTCATTGGCCTGATTGGGACATGAGGCTACCCTTATTGGTAAAGGAGGCTGGAAATTTTATTATTATTGTCTTTTTTTAAATATTTTATTTATTTATTTGAAAGAGAGACAGTGAGAGAGGGAACACAAGCAGGGGGAGTGGGGAAGGGAGAGGGAGAAGCCAGGCTCCCCGCTGAGCAGGGAGCCCAACACAGGGCTTGATGCCAGGACCCCAGGATCATGATCTGAGCTGAAGGCAGACACTTAACCGACTGAGCCACCCAGGTGCCCTTATTATTATTATTACTAGCTATGCATGTTGGCATCCCCAATAAAATTGAGGTCCTGTTAGTAGGCAACTAATAGTCTCTATTATAATGATCATTAAAATACTATTATAATAGTATAAGTGATACTATTATAAGACTATTATATACTTGTCTCACAACACTATGGTCATAATTTTTGATGATTTTGATATCCATGTCGATGATCTTTGCAAATAATCCAACATCTCAGTTCATTGAATTCCTTTCCTCCAATGATCTTGTCTTCTATCCTATCTCAGCAACTGACAAGATGATATCCTCTAGTCTTTGTCATAACCAATAACTTTAACTTTTCCATAATTTGTTTCAATCATCTTAATCTGTGGTCACTACCTCTTATCTTTCCCACTTTGTCTAATATTCGGGCTCCAAAAGTCCTTTGAGTCCATTCAAAACTATAATCCATTGGTCTTACTGCCTTTTACTGCCCCAAATCCTCCTTGTGGTCTTACTTACCTAGCTTAAATTCCATGGTCCATTATTATTATTGCTCCCAAGCATATGTACTTTCTTGCCCTGCCATGCTATATTGATTGTATTTTGTTAAACTGCAACCCTGATCAAATCAATCACCATCTTCTCTATATTTGTGGCATCTGAATGTGAGTAGAAGAAAAAATCCCCAGGTATGCTTATAGTCTCATTTTATATTTGTAATTAGTAAACCTAGTTCATTCATTTTCCCACTCTCCTGAATGGTTAATTCAGTTTTTTCCCCTCTCCTATATGGGTATAAGTCTTTTTCATGACAAAAAAAAAAAAAAAAAAAAGTGCAGGGCGCCTGGGTGGCTCAGTCGTTAAGCGTCTGTCTTCTGCTTAGGTCATGATCTCAGGGTCTTGGAATCGAGCCCCGCATCGGGCTCCCTGCTCAGCGGGAGGCCTGCTTCTCCCTCTCCCACTCCTCCTGCTTGTGTTCCCTCTCTCGCTGTGTCTCTCTCTGTCAAATAAATAAAATATTTTTAAAAAAGTGTATCAGCCTGTGAGTATGTTTTAAAATGTGATGTTAAATGAACATATTCCTCATGGAAAACATTCTGTGAGAATCCTAACTCTATATAAGCATCTGAGGTTTGTGTATCATAGGTTGTCTCTGATTTACAAATCACTGCTCTACTCGAAAATATTCAGTCCTTGTGATATTTTCATTTGCCACTATTTTTTCCTCAAAGTGTTCATTTGCCCATTGAGTGAGGGTAAAAGACTACAGCTCTTGGCAAGTATAATTATATTCAGAAGTCATAATGAGCATTCATTTTCTAACACAAGGAGATATTTTTATATATTTCTGTGTACAGAGTGGCTACCTTTTTTTGGGTATTCATAACTTTCAGGAGTTTAAATCTGGGATGCTTGCTTTTCTGCAATGGTGCAGGGGAGAATAAAAGAGGCATAGCAGGATATATGTCATTAATGGGCCAGTCCCCAGAATGTACTCTCTTTCACTTTCTGGAAGAATTTGCTAGTAGAGCATTTAGAGCATGATTTCTTGCCTTATAAGTTTGAAGGGACAGAAATTATAGGCAAAAAATATTTTCCAAAATAATTAAATATACTAAAATGTAGATGGGGATGCATATAGATTCTGAAATGAAAGTAACTTTTTTTTGTTATTCTTTTCAAAAGGTTGGGGATGATCTGAATTCATTCTTGAGATGTTGTTCACAATTTGCTGCTCAGTTAGAAGAAGCAGCTAAGGAAGAACATAATGTATGTATTCTGTGTAAACTGTCAAGTATAAAATATTTACTATTTTAATGATTTAAATTATTAGTAATGTTAATAAATTTTGTATTAATAAATTGTATATTAATTTATTAAAATCATTAATTGTTGTTAATAACAATTTTAGTAATACAATATTTAAAGCTATACTGGTTGTTAGAACTTGAATGTGATAATCCATTCAGCAGTATTAGTCTAAATACAGTGCCTTAAGGAGTTATAAAAGGCATTAGAAAGTTTTATTTTTTATTCTTAATGTAGGCATTTAGATCTGTGAATTTTCCTTTAAGTACAGCATTGATTAGGTCATTAGTATTTTCATATTTACAAATGAAAACATAGTATTAACAGTATTTATATTTTAGTGTTTTAAAAATTTTTTTATTTAAATCCAATTTAGTTAACATACAATGTATTATTAGTTTCAGGGGTAGAAGTTAGTGATTCATCAGTTGCATATAACACCCAGTGTTCATTACTTCAAGTGCCCTCCTTAATACCCATCCCCCAGTTATCCCATCCCCCACCATCACCCCTCCAGCAACCTTCAGTTTGTTTCCTATAGTTAAGGGTCTCTTAAGGTTTACCTCCCTCTGTTTTTATTTTACTTTATTTTTCCTTCCCTTCCCCTATGTTCATCTGTTTTGTTTCTTAAATTTTGCGTATGAGTGAAATCATATGGTATTTGTCTTTCTCTAACTTATTTTGCTTAGCATAATACCCTCCAGTTCCATCCAAATAAGGTAATTTATATTACAAAAGTAATATGTCATAATTAATGAAAATTTCAAAAAAGACATGCATAAAGAAGAAAACAAAAATTACCATAATCCTATTTCCCCATGATAACCAACTACTGTTAACATATTTTTGTTTCCCTTCCTGATTTTCCAAAGTTATAAAGATTTAGAAAGAATGAAATAATACTGTACATACTATTTGGTATACACTATTGAGTGAGGGTAAAAGTACTACTGTCTAATATTCTGGCTCCAAAAGTCCTTTGATTCCATTTGGAACTATAATCTATTGGTCTTACTGCCTTTTACTGTCCCAAATGTTACCTTTTGAAAAGACTAACAAAACAAAGTTACTTTTATTTCAGAATCCATATGCATCCCCATCTACATTTTAGTATATTTAATTATTTTGGGAAATACTTTTTGCCTATAATATGTATATAATACTATCTACAAAAATTTTAAATTAACATGTAATGTATTATTTGTTTCAGGGGTACAAGGTCTGTGATTCATCAGTCTTACACAATTCACAGTGCTCACCATAGTACATACCCTCCCCAATGTCCATCACCCAGCCACCCCATCCCTCCCTCCCCCCTCCACTCCAGCAACCCTTCGTTTATTTCCTGAGATTAAGAGTCTCTAATGGTTTGTCTCCCTCACTGGTTTTGTCTTGTTTCATTTTTCCCTCCCTTCCCCTATGATCCTCTGCCTTGTTTCTCTAATTCCTCATATCAGTGAGACCATATGATACTTGTCTTTCTCTGATTGACTTATTTCACTTAGCATAATACCCTCTAGTTCCATCCATGTCATTGCAAATGACAAGATTTCATTTTTTTGATGGCTGCATAATATTCCATTGTATATATATACCACATCTTCTTTATCCATTCATCTGTTGATGGACACCTAGGCTCTTTCCCTAGTTTGGCTACTGTGGACATTGCTCCTATAAACATTGGGGTGCATGTGCCCCTTCAGATCACTACATTCGTATCTTTGGGGTAAATACCCATAGTGCAATTGCTGGGTTGTTAGGGTAGCTCTCTTTTCAACTTTTTGAGGAACCTCCATAGTGTTTTCCAGAGTGGCTGCACCAGCTTGCATTCCCACCAACAGTGTAGGAGGGTTCCCCTTTCTCTGCATCCTCGCCAACATCTGTCGTTTCCTAACTTGTTAATTTTAGCCATTCTGACTGGTGTGAGGTGGTATCTCATTGAGGTTTTGATTTGGATTTCCCTGATGCTGAGTGATGTTGAGCACTTTTTCTTGTGTCTGTTGGCCATTTGGATGTCTTCTTTGGAAAAATGTCTGTTCATGTCTTCTGCCCATTTCTTGATTGGATTATTTGTTCTTTGGGTGTTGAGTTGGATAAGTTCTTTATAGATTTTTGATACTAGCCCTTTATCTGATATGTCATTTGCAAATATCTTCTCCCATTCTGTCGGTTGTCTTTTGGTTTTGTTGACTGTTTCCTTTGCTGTGCAAAAGCTTTTTATCTTGATGAAGTCCCAATAGTTCATTTTTGCCCTTGCTTCCCTTGCCTTTGGCGATGTTTCTAGGAAGAAGTTGCTGCAGCTGAGGTCAAAGAGGTTGTTGCCTGTGTTCTCCTCAAGGATTTTATTTTTTTAATTTAATTTAATTTTACTATCTTATGTTAGTCACCATACAATACATCATTAGTTTTTGATGTAGTGATCCATGATTCATTGTTTTCATATAATACCCAGTGCTCCATGCAGTAGGTGCCTTCCTTAATACCCATCACCAGGCTAACCCATTCCCCCAACCTCCTCCTCTCTAAAACCCTCAGTTTGTTTCTCATAGTCCATAGTCTCTCATGGTTCGTCCCTCCCTCCAATTTCCCTCCCTTCATTTTCCCCTTCCTTCTCCTAATATCCTCCATGTTATTCCTTAGGTTCCTAATTAAGTGAAACCCTATGATAATTAACTTTTTCTGCTTGACTTATTTCACTTAGTGTAATCTCCTCCAGTCCCATCCATGCTGATGTAAAAATTGGGTATTCATCCTTTCTGCTGCCTGAGTAATATTCCGTTGTATATATGGACCACATCTTCTTTATCCATTCATCTTTTGAAGGGCATCTCAGCTCTTTCCACAGTTTGGCTATTGTGGACATTGCTACTATGAACATTGGGGTGCATATGGCCCTTCTTTTCACTACATCTGTGTCTTTGGGGTAAATACCCAGTAGTGCAATTACTGGGTCATAGGGTAGTTCTATTTTTAATTTTTTGAGGAACCTCCACACTGTTATCCAAAGTGACTGTACCAACTTGCATTCCCACCAACAGTGTGAGAGGGTTCCCCTTTCTCCATAACCTCTCCAACATTTGGTGTTTCTTGCCTTGTCAGTTTTTACCATTCTCACTGGTGTAAGGTGGTATCTCAGTGAGGTTTTGACTTGAATTTCCCTGATGGCTAATGATGATGAACATTTTTTCATGTGTCGGTTAGTCATTTATATGTCTTCTTTGGAGAAGTGTCTGTTCATGTCTTCTGCCCATTTTTGGACTTGATTATTTGTTTTTTGGGTGTTGAGTTTGAGAAGTTCTTTATAGATCTTGGAAATCATCCCTTTGTCTGTAGTGTCATTTGCAAATATCTTCTCCCATTCTGTGGGTTTCCTCTTTGTTTTGTTGACTGTTTCCTTGGCTGTGCAGAAGCTTTTTAACTTGATGAAATCCCAAAAGTTCATTATTGCTTTTGTTTCACTAGCCTTTGGAGATGTATCTTGAAAGAAGTTGCTGTGGCCGATGTCAATGGATTCCTATCTCACATTGAGGTCTTTCATCCATTTCGAGTATATCTTTGTGTATGGTGTTAGAGAATGGTCGAGTTTCATTCTTCTGTATATAGCTGTCCAATTTTCCCAGCACTATTTATTGAAGAGACTGTCTTTTTTCCATTGCATGATTTTTCCTGCTTTGACAAAGATTATTTGTCCATAGAGTTGAGGGTCCATATCTGGGGTCTCTATTCTGTTCCATTGGTCTATATGTCTGTTTTCGTGCCAGTACCATGCTGTCTTGGTGATCACTGTTTTCTAATATAGCTTGAAATCAGGCAACGTGATGCCCCTAGCTTTGTTTTTCTTTTTCAACATTTCCTTGGCGATTTGGGATCTTTTCTGATTCCATACAAATTTTAGGATTGTTTGTTCCAGCACTTTGAAAAATGTCATTGGAATTTTGATCGGGATGGCATTGAAGGTATAGATTGCTCTGGGTAGCATAGACATTTTAAGAATGTTTATTCTTTTTTTTTAATTTTTTTATTGTTATGTTAATCACCATATATTACATCATTGGTTTTTGATGCAGTGTTCCATGATTCATTGTTTGTTCATAACACCCAGTGCTCCATGCAGAACGTGTCCTCTTTAATACCCATCACCAGGCTAACCCATCCCCCTGCCCCCCTCCCCTCTAGAACCCTCAGTTTGTTTTTCAGAGTCCATCGTCTCTCATGGTTCGTCTCCCCCTCTGACATACTCCCCTTTTCTTCCTCTCCTGTTATCTTCTTCTTTTCCTTTTTTCTTAAAATATGATGCGTTATTTGTTTCAGAAGTACAGATCTGTGATTCAACAGTCTTGCACAATTCACAGCGCTCACCGTAGCACATACCCTCCCCAAAGTCTATCACCCAGCCACCCCATCCCTCCCACCCCCAACCACTCCAGTAACACTCAGTTTGTTTCCTGAGATTAAGAATTCCTCATATCGGTGAGGTCATGTGATACATGTCTTTCTCTGATTGACTTATTTCACTCAGCATAACACCCTCCAGTTCCATCCACGTCGTTGCAAATGGCAAGATCTCATTCCTTTTGATGGCTGCATAATATTCCATTGTGTATATATACCACATCTTCTTTATCCATTCATCTGTCGATGGGCATCTTGGCTCTTTCCACAGTTTGGCTATTGTGGACATTGCTGCTAT